GTTTCTGGGTTGGTTTTCCCAGATTCTTGCTTCTCAATAGAGAATTCACATGGCAGAGCACTTCTGTAAATCCAAGTAATTTTTATGAGGGAAAGGGGAAGTTGCAGGTAATACAGTCTCAGATAGGACGTGCTATCTTTGGAAAGCATGCAAGGCTGCAGCGACAGGACCACGCAAAAGTTCGCAGTGACCAAAGATGGCTGCTTCAGGGGATCGTGGAAAAATCCATTAAGAGGAGGCCACCAAAATAAATAAATAAAAAAGAGGAGGCCACCGAACCAAAAGAGGAGCATAGGGTAGTATCATAACCCAAAAAGAAAGCTCCAGAACTGAAAGTGATAGGGTCTGTCAAAGGAGAAGGGGGCTGGGGAGATAGAGTTGAGGGGAGAGAGAGCCAACAAGAGGAGAGTGCAGGGGAGAGAGGTCTGAGAGGGCACCGGCATGCAAACTGAGCATGCAGAAAGATCCTGCCCCGCTGAACTGACCAGAGAGCCTGTCCTCAGTTTCTGCTTTTTATCCCATCTGCACCTAGGTGACCTTCATCTATGCATGCCCAGCTTTGGACCTTTGCCCATAGGTGTCTACTGTGTGCTTGGTTTCTCTCTAACCCTTTATTGTGGCATGGCCAGCTAATTTTCATGTACCAGTGGCATTGGTGGAGACAACCCCCTTTATCCCAATCTTCCTACCTCTCAGTGGTGAACTGCTGACCTTGCAGTTAGCAGCCCAATCCATAACCAAACCCGGGCCCTTCACACTTATTTCCATCTCATCTAAATTAAGTTTCCTTCATTATCCTATATCCTGTATCCTGGGTTATCTTCAAAGCCCTTACCACAATCTGTAATTAATAGTGGTTTATTTACCTTTTTAATGTGCGCCTTCTCCACTAGGCTTTAAGTTTTATAAAGATAGGGATTGTTCACCATTGTACCCCCAGCTCTTGCATAATACCTGGCATACAGTTATGCAGGCACAATAAATGTTGGTCCATCATCTCTCAAAAGAGCTTTCTTATATCCGATTGAATCCCAGTGCAGCACTGCTGTGAATGCTAGCTATTTGGATGGAAGTCTCAAAAGACATTCTACACTTGCTTTTACCTCTTAAGGATTCTTACAATCGTATTAAAGTCATTTGCTACTTAAGTTTGATACAGTTAAAAATGAAAGGAAATAACCTTCTTTTGTAATGTAGTCATTGTTAGTTAAATTTCTTTATTCTAGGATGGAAGGCTTACCTCATATTACAGCCATTTGCTCCTTAAGTACTGTACAGTGAAAATGAGAGGATATAAGCTTTTTCTTTTGTAATATAATCTGTATTATTTAAATTTCTTTATTCTAGGGATGAAGCCTCACATCATGTACAGCTATTTGCTCCTTCGGTATTTTACGGTGAAAATGAAAGGAAATAAGTGTCTGCTTTTGTAAGGCACTGAAGAGTTATTTAAATTTCTTTATTTCAGGATGGAAGACTCACTTTTCATCCAGGAAGTCAGGTCGTGAAGCTTCCTTTTCTCAACTTCATGAAAGCTCATGGAGCTACCTTTCTCAATGCGTACACCAACTCTCCAATTTGTTGCCCGTCACGAGCAGGTATGAATAGGCCGAATTCAACGGAAGTAAGTGACTACACCTTGAAACTACATTCACAATGAAAACGATTATGCCCAAAAGTGGAATAACACATCATGTGTGTTACTTAATAAGTTTAGGTTTTTTGTTTATGTAAAATTAGCAAAGTGTAACATCTGACCTCCTGTCACATATAGAGACCATGAAGAATTAGCAAGTAATTCACTGTGGTTTATTTGTTTGTTTTTCTTGTGAGATGGGTTTTCATCGATCGGTGGGATTATTAGAATTTCTAATTAATTTTTCAAAGGCAGGAAATCAAATGGTGGATCTCACTGAGCAAATCTGCTACAAAATATCTCTATGAAGTGTTAAAAAGCAAAGAGGTTCTTTAACGATTAAAATGTGCCCGACCAGGCCGTCAGAGTTTCCATGACAAAGTGTAAGTGGAATTCAAAAGTACAATTGCCATTGAGTCAGGTCCAAGTCATACTCACGCTGTAGGACAAAACAGATCTGTCCCTCCTGGGCCCCAGGCTGTCCTCCTTATGGAAGCCGACTGCCACCTTGTCCTCTCTCAGAGAACCTGGTAGACTAGAACTGCTGGCCTTGCAATTAGCATTCAAGTGCTTAACCACTGTGCTCACTTATTAAACCACAAATCATTAAGAAACAGGAAAAATCGTGTTTCTATGAATTCTGTTGGTCTGTAGGACCTGACAGGAGTTGTTTTTATTTTCCCTTTTTCTGGTTTTGGAGTGTTTGATTTGGAACCCATAAATAGCATCTAACAATTTAGTTTTGTCCCTGAGCTACTGGTATGATTTTTACCACTATTTTGTATTATTTTTCAGCAATGTGGAGTGGCCTCTTCATTCACTTAACACAGTCTTGGAATAATTTTAAGGGCCTAGAGCCAAATTATACAACATGGATGGATGTCATGGAGAAGCATGGCTACCGAACACAGAAATTTGGAAAACTGGATTATACTTCAGGACACCACTCTGTTAGGTAAAAAAGATAAAAGCAAAAAGAATACTGTGTTAGGTCAGGTTGACTAGAGAAACCAATGTGTGAGAAAGAGCTTTATATCAAGAAGCGGTTATATATATCAGGGAAACATCCCCGCCCAGTCCAGCTCAAGTCCCTAAGTCTGATATGAGTAGTCTATCAGTCGCTCTTCAGACGCACGCAGCCACATGCAATGAGGCAGAATGCAGAAAGGCCACAGGCCGGTGTGTGCAAGGTCTGTGGATCCAATGGCTCACTTCATCACAGGGCTTTGTCAGGTCTCAGAGTGGAGGCAGAGAGGAAGGGGAAAGTTCCCAGGATCCTCCTCATGAGAAGGCCACGCCCACAAGGAGGTACCATCAGGCTGTGACCTGATTGACAGGCAAGACTCCACCCCTACCTTGTTACAGGTGCCATGTTGGCACAAAAAATCCATAACTATCACAAATACTATTAGGCAGCCTTCTGCTATAGCCCATATGTGGACTCTTTTTTACTTTTTTGGTTCCCCTCTTAATGTTAATTCCTTGATTATGTTAATCTACCATAACTTTTAGCTTTCTTTAATCTTCTTGAAACATTTAAATTGCTAATATGCTGGTCATTTTGTTTTTCTTAACTACTAAAGGACCATAAATAGTGTCTCTAAAATTGGTTAAAATATGATTGATTTTTATTGACTTCATGATATAATAGCTAATTTATTACTGATCTTATAATCTGCTTTTAAAAATCACAGTCTTTTTGCTCCTTACCTATGTAGTTCTTTCCAACACGAATCTATTATAGGGCAATTCTGCTGCCCTACACCTGCTTTATTAAGTTCCCAACAACCAGGCTGCCCAGCGCAGTGGTTCAGAGTGCAAGTCTAGAATCAGACTGTTCCACCTCTGCCAAACTTCTCTTGTGTTGTCCTGGGCACATTACCGAAGCTAACTGACCAAACTTCCATTTCCTTGCTGTGATGATTAAGTGAAATAGCACGTGCTGGAAAATGCTAGCATATTAGGCTTCAAGGTGAGTTCTTGACTGGTATCTAGAAATTTGGAGGTTGCTGGTTCACCCAACATTTCCTAACTGGTAAGAGTGGCATTCTGTCCCTAAACCCTTTGTGCGGTGTTTAGACCAAACATTTGCTCTCTTTCAGGTAGTCTGGAATTTTGCCGCTTGTTAGACAGAGAATAAATCAGAGAATGATCAAATCTCTCTAGGAAGAAGTGCAGCCAGAATGCTCCTTAAAAGCGAAAATAGTGAGACGTTGTTTCGTGTATTTGGACATGTAAGCAGGAGAGACCCATGCCTGGAGAAGGATATCATGCTTAGTAAAGTCGAGGGTAAGTGGAAAAGGTGACAACTCAGCAGAGCGGATTGTTACAGCGGTTACAGTGGGCTTAAACATAGGGGCAGTTATGAGGATGGCATAGGATCAGATGGGATTTCATCTGTTGGGTTGTATAGGGTCCATGTGACTTGGAACTGACTAGCTAGTACCTCAACAACAGGCAACAATGCCTTTGTGGGCAGCCCCCAATCAAAACCCTCTAATGAGCTGACTTGGTAAGCATTTCACGCGTGCTGTCACAATTCAGTGCTGGAGGAATTAAACATGCCCTGTATGCCTCCAACTCATTGCCTTTGAGTCAAGTCTGACTCACCGTGAACTTATAGGATGGAATAGAACTACCTGTTTGGGTATCTGAGGCTGTAAAGCCTATGGGAACTGAAAGGTTCATTTTTGTTTCACAGAGCAACTGGTGGGTTCGAACTGAGCACCTTTTAGTTACCAGCCCAACTCCTAATCCACTAGGCTACCCAGAGCAGTTGCATCCTAGTTACACATTGGGCTGCTAATTGCAAGGTCAGCCGTTTGAAACTACCAGCTTCTTCTCAAGGGAAAGACGAGACTTTCTCATCTCCTAAAGAGTTATAGTCTCGAAAACGCAAAGGGGAAGTTCTGCCTTGTCCTAGGGCCACTGTGAGTCAGAAAGGACTCGATGGGAGTGAGTTTTTGAGTTTTTGTGTGTCTCCACACGAAGAAGATTCTGGGAAGCTTCTGCCTGCTTTATTCCGTACTATCCCAAGTCCTTCCCCTTTGGTTGTCCTACCCTGTATCATTTCTGCCTTCTAAGTCACAGCCATTGCCATGAAGATGACTATTGTACATCCTGTTAGTCCTTTTAGTGAACTGGGCATGAGCTAGGGACCCCTGACACAGCGCTGGGGAAGACCTTAGAGCAGCCCCCTTACTTCCAAAGAGCCATACTCCCTGCCGCTGACTTGGTCCCAACGTGTATCGGCCCCATTGGGCGGTGTGGAACTGCCCCTGTGGGTTTCCGAGACTATTTTATGAGAGTAGAAAGCCTCTTACATCTCCCACAGAGCAGCTGGTGGTTTTGAACTGTTGACCTTACAGTTAGCAGCCCAATGCACGATAGCAGATGTGATTTGAAGTTAATGATAGTAGTACTTGATAATTAAGATAAACTAATGGTGGTAAATAAGAAATTTTTAAAATGGTGAGTTTGGAGTAAACTGGTAATAACTTAAAAAACAAAACACTGCCATTGAGTCAATGCTAACTCATACTAAAGCATAGGGTAGAACTGCCCCTGTGAGTTTCTAAAACCATAACTGTTCACGGGTGTACACGGCCTGTTGTCTTTCTCCTGCTGAGCAGCTGGTAGTTTTGAAGTGCTGATCTTGCAGATCACAGCCCAACACATAACCATTCTGTCACTAGGGCCCCCTAACTGGTAATAAAATAAAATAACCTAGAATAAACCTGAGTGTTAAGTTTTCTCATCTGGTTATGTTCTTTTTCATCTTTTCTGACTTCCAAAATCTAAAAGGAAGTAAACTGAAAACCCAGGAGTGTTCCCAGCATCTTCTCTTTACCTCAGTCTCCTCGTTCCTCCCCGATCGCTGTCCTGCTTCTAAAACAGTTCTCCTTTCATTCACTTCTTACCATCACCACCAGGTACTGTGTGAATTACTGCTGTCGCTTTCTAACTGGACTCTCCTAGCATTGCTTGACCCAGTTTCCGTAAGTATCCAGAGTGACCCTTTTTAAATGTACACCTCATTACATGACACGCCTACTTAAAATCCTGCAGGATTGATCCTTTGTCAGGTATCTTGAAACCCCAAATCCACAGCATGGATTTAGTATAACCTACATGATGAGCTAGCCCCGGCCGACCTCCGGGATAATGTAGTTGCACTCCCTCCCTCCCTCAGTGTGCACCAAGTACTCAAGTTTTCTACATTTTTGAACATGTTTTTTAATGATCTCTGGACCACTGCAAAATTAGCCCATGTAAAATGTTCTCCCTCCTGCTGCCTGGCTAATGCCGAAGAAAGAAAGCAGGGAGAAGCAAGGGTAGCATATAGTGGAAAGGTTTGAAGAGGTTTCATAAATTGAATAATGGTTATGTTAGCTGCTTTTTCTTTAGATGTATGGATATTATAACACTGTACTTCAGGATAGATCTTAAAATGTTCTTTTGATGATAAATGCAAAACTGTTCCTCCCAAATGTGTCATTCCCTGCACAGTAGCCCATATGATTACCCATTTCAAAATGGCCAAGACTGGTCCATTTCAGTTCAATAATGTTACAATTAATCTGAAACAGATCAAACATGTAATCAGGATACACTGAGAATTAGTAGTTGGGATATGAATACAAGAGTTGGAAACAAGAAGGATCGGTATTTGAAACACCAGAACTGGTGATAGAAACAATACCAAAGAGTGATAGAATGCTCTAAGACCAATAACTTATATTGCCTAACGACCTTTTGTTCTTTTTAAATTAATTATTTTTATTTTAATAACTCATTTTATTAGGAGCTCTTAAAACTTTTATAACAATCCATACATCAATTGTATCAAGCACATTTGTAGATATGTTGCCATCATCCTTTTCAAAACATTTTCTTTCTACTTGAGTCCTTGGAATCAGCTCCTCTTTTTTTCCCCTCTCTCCCCCACCTTCCTACCCTCATGAACCCTTGATAAATTATAAATTATTAGTTAAGAACTTTTTCCATAACACAAATGTCAACTCTACACAGGGACCTCACCAAATGGAGTATGTGAGAAACAAATGGACTACATCTATGGAAAAAGATGGTGGAGAAACTCAGTATCATCAGTCAGGATAAGACCAGGAGACAACTGAGAAACAGACCATCAATTGCTCACATGCAAGTTCTAGTTGAAGCTAAAGAAAATTAACGCAAGTTTACAAGAATTAAAGTACAACCTTGAATTATTTCTGAATTTAAAGACATATGAATAGATTTGACTTATGACACTAATCTAATGGCTAAAGGTCAGAGTAGTTATGGGATGATATCAAACATAAAGCAAAAATGCATCAAAAAGCAAGAAAAGGACAAAATGGATGTCAGAAGAGATTTGCTCTTGAGCACAGGGTAGCTAATGTGGAAGGAAGAAATGATGATTAAAAGAGCTGAATAAAAGATTTCAAGAGGTAGCTTGAGATGACCTGTAAAACATTAAAATAAAATGTGCAAAGACCTGGAGTTCGAAAACTAAAAAAACACAATGTGCATTTCTTAAGCTGAAAGGACTGGGGGTAGGAGAGATATTAGCCTCAAGTTGCAATACTGACGGAGTCTATAGGCAGAAAATTGAATGATGCTAGAAACAGCAAAAGAAGATGCAAAGAAAAAAGAATCACTGTACCAAAAGGAATTGGTAGACATTCAACCATTTCAGGAGGTAGCATGTGATCAAGAACCAACAGTCCTGAAAGACGTCAAAGCTCACTGAAGGCATTGGGAAAACCTAGGCTTCAGGAACTGACAGGAAAGCCAGTTAAGATACATTTATATATAATAATAGGGAAACAGATCTATGTACATATATTTATATGTTGAGTATCAAGGTAGCAGATGGACATTGGGCCT